TATTTTAGTTTATCTTAGCAATGCCCTTTATAGTGATGTAAACATGTTGCACAGATCAGCTGCCCAGGGTAGAATTACCTTCACCTTTTTGGTGGAACTAGTCCTGCTACTTTCAGGTAAGATATGGTAAAATTAACTAGTTATATCAATCAGTAGTATATTATGAGCTTCACAGGCATGTAGAAAGATAATCTTTTTCAGAGGGTTCACATCCCCAGGAGTACGGTCATGTAAGGTGCTATGCATCTAGTTCTGATCTAGCCAAGAACAGAAAGGTATGTTTGAAGGTAAGCACACATTAAATGCTTCGGCAGATTAGATCAGATAAACATCACCTTGGAAGCAATCACAGACTACATACAAAAGGAGATGGTGAGGACAAGGATTGGCTTAATGAGGAAGTTCTAAAGTCAAAAGCACATGGGGAGGATGGAGAAAGAGAGTAGGAAAAAAGTGACAGAAACTAACAGGTTCAGAAATGCACATTTCATTTTTTTAAATCTGTATGCCATTAACTTTATCTTCCTTATCTAGGTTGAGATCGGAGATCTTTGTTCTTAAAACTCAAGGAGTACTTTTTTTCTTTTAAAAGTAAAATTGTTTATATTCTTTAATTTTTTCATTATTACTCACTCTTCAGTGGCTAATTCTCCTGATATGAGAAATTAAAGTTTTGGTCCAACGAGACTATAACAGCAGGAAGCATATTTTGGGACATTTGAGGAACCAAGATGTATGTTCTGAAAAAAAAAGGGTGCAGCTCCTCACTTAAGATGCAGATGGTAGCTTCTGTCTCCACTTCTTAGTACATGCTAGCATAAAGGGCTCATTACATTTCTCCACTATATTGTCTATATAGCTGGAAATGGAAATGCTGACCCTTCACATAAATGCAAAGTGAGATTATAGAAATGAATACATTTATTCACCCCCCCCCCCCCAAGTTTACTTTACTTTTCTGGCATGATGAAACGCTCTACAGGTGCAAATCTACCCTGCCTTCTACTGGACTTCAGACTACCATAGCTAACTATATGTCTCTCTATTGGAAGATACTCAAATACTTGAGTAAAGAACCTTCAAAGAACATGATTTTACTCTTAGCTACCAAGTTAATATCTTGCACTAGAACCCAGTGCATTTGCTATCAGCAACCATATCCAATATTATAAAGACTTAGGTTATGTGCACATAAACATATGCTAAATGCCAACTCACATTGTATTCTCTTCAATAGGACTTTTCTTAACTTTTCTCTTTAAAATCATCAGGGGGGTAATTGGAGGTTATGTACTTTCCACATCCTCACTACATCAAGTACTGTCACGTGAAGACTGAATTTTTTAACCACATTCTAGTATTTGACAGTCAAGAAAAACTGGGAAATACGCTTTAAGTTAGACTTAGAACTAGACGTAAAGCAACAGCCAAGACTATGAGATTCTCATAAGCAAGAAACAAATCCCTATGGTTGAAGAGGCTATAAATGAACAGAAAATGGGGTTAATGGGGAAAGGAGAATAGAAGCTAGCTGGGAGATTGCCTATCATTCTCAGGTTCCTACAAGTGATCTTAAAGGGAGTTGATCTAAATATGTTGTTTCTTCTTCTAACTGTGACTTGTGGAGCAAAGCATTCTATTTTTCCACCTCATTGATACCTGATTTGAGACTGGAATGTAGTAAAATTGTGATGCAAAAATAAACTCAAACCAGACAACAAAAACCTCTGGAATCATGAAGTGTGGCAGGGAAAACAGGGAGGTCAAACCAGCTGGTTGTTCACAGGCAGCCTTAAAAAAAAAAAAAAGGCAGCAGCATCTCATTATCTATAGGTAGGGAGCTACTTAATTCCTGGGGGCTGCTTCTGGATTTCACGGTCCCAGCGTGGTGTCAGGCAACATTTTCGCGGTGGAGCGTGGCACCCCACCCCCTCGACTGGCTGAGGGGCCCCAGAAATCTTGCGCCTCCCTGGAGATTGACAGATGACGAAAGTCGGCTCATCCCCATCCTCTGTTCAGGATGCCCAGGCATCCCACCTCTGTTTGCAGCACCTCTTTCCCCACCCCTCTGTTTTTCTGCTTTTTCACAGGGACCAGGCTTTTTCATAGTTTCATAGATGTTAGGGTCAGAAGGGACCTCAGTAGGTCATCCAGTCCGACCCCCTGCCCTATGCAGGAAAGAGTGCTGGGGGTCAGGTGACCCCAGCCAGGTTCTTGTCCAGTCTCCTCTGGAAGACCCCCAGAGAGCACCACCTCCCTTGGAAGCCCACTCCAGATTCTGGCCACCTTTACTGTGAATTAGTTCTTTCTAATGTCCAACCTAAATCTGCTCTGTCACATTGTTCCTAGTTTTTATGTGGGACCTAGAAAATGTGCAGTTTCTGCAAAAATCACAAAATCATAAATTTGGTGGGTCCCCACCTATAGCATTCTAAGACACTTTTAAGAAGTTTTTGATGTAGTTTTTGCTCCTTAATACCAGAATCTGGTTTCTCTGCTCATTTACCTCCTAGAGATAATGTCTTGGTCTGGCAGTACAGTTAGGCTGTGCTCCTTCCTGCAGATGGAAAGGATATCTAGAGCTCCAAATAGGCTTGGAATCTACCCAGCAGATTAGAAGAATCTTACCAAGAAGTGTTCTCATGGCAGAACTAATTCATTGATTTATTTGTATAAAAACTTCAGAAGCAAATCAAGTTTAACAGACTGTTCACAGCTATTGCTGTCTAATATCTCTTCTTATTCTCAACTGCAACTGAGACCCTGATTCCCTCTTTATTTTAAACATCCAAGGAAGGTCTTGATTAGAATGAAAGAAACAGCAATGCAGACTCAGTGCTTAAAACTTTGAGGTACCTCTAAAAGTCAGTGATGATTATAATCATGCATTCTGGGGCTCCTCTAACTCTGCTACAGGTGAGTCATTATTTATCAAGACACATATTCTAAGACTACCCTTTGTAAATGTGTTATCAGGATGCAATAAAATATTTTACTCAAAAGCTAACCTTATTAAAATAACCGTGAGGACAAATACATTTTACATGTAGATTTATATTCTTGTTGATTGTCAGGCAGACCAGGGAAAATTGCCTGTTCAGTTTATGTACAGAAAGAAGCCAAGGCCTACACCCTAAATCTGGCTTTTGTGCAGCCATTATGAATAAAATGCACTGAAACATAAGCTAGGACAGCTCCTGCAGAAACACAGATAAAGCAGTTTGCTTGACTATATATACAGCAATTCTTTCTGAAATTTGGTGCTCAGAAAAAAATTCGGCACAACACACAATTCAGTGATTTTGTTTATTATTAGAAGGAGGCTTCCTTTCATCCAGATATATTACGAGCTCTGTATTAGATAAGGTAATTGAATTTGATTAATTCCAGTTGGATTAGTTGAATAAACAACTGTTTTGAAGCTTGGCTTTAGCAGTCATAAATCTGTGATAATCAGCTGTATTTATAATCCACTTAGCTTTGATAAGTACAACTGGGTATCCTGCAACAGATTTTAAATAGAAATTAATCACCTTGGGAAGATGCCACAGTAAATTATCCCAGCTCCTCAACAAAGCTGTGCAATGTGTTCTCTGACTTGCGTAACTTCTAACAACCCTTCATTTTCACGTTCCCAATCTTTTATCAGGTTAACCGTTACCATCTTAAAGATAGAATGTTTTATCCTGGAGAGATCCATCAACAAGTATCAAAATTAAGCCTTGTTAGGTGGCAGTTACAAAAAGTAATTTACTTTATTGTAAAATTCTCCATACCTACACATGAGTTGGACCCATGCATTATAATTTATCATGAGTCTGCTTTCCAGAGCACTTGAACAACAGCACTTAGCTCCTATTGCTGGACTTGCTATGAAGGGCTCTCTAAGTATGTTAAATATTAAGGGCAACCTTTTAGAAGATGAGAGTTGCACTATCAGCACCTTTGAAAATTGACCAATTATACTGAAGTGGTTAATTACAGAATGAGATGCCTAGGTTTGAGGACCAGACTGAAACATCTAGAACATTAGGGATAACACACCAACTGGGGATTTAATTTGATAAGAGCTGGAATGACTAACATATAAAAAATGTTAGTGATTTAGTTAAAAATTACATGATGATTGAAGACGGTTTTATCTAAATTAATACCTCTGTACATGCATTTTCATAAACAGTGCATTCACATACTCTAGCCAATGCCTGACTTTTAGATACAATGTATAAGTAAACCTGACATCCAGATTATTTTAAAAATCAGTTTTGCGATGACTAAAATAGGTTACTTTAATAATGAATTTGTTTCCAACAAAAAAACTGGCTTGTTTTGAAGACTGTGTTTCACATATATACAAAATTAAAAATTAACTCATTCCATTTTGGAAAGCACAAACTGACATTGATAGGCAATAAAAAACTATTGAGACTGGTGAAAAATATATTTCCACTAAATATACTGAGCCATTTAAGAAAAATGCTATTAAATATCGAAGTTAGAAATAAGGGGACACACGCACACTTGTGAAACAGCTGATGCTTGTATACTGTAACCAAAGGTTCACAGCCTCATTTTTATCCTTCTCTTTCCCTAGTACGATATAGGTCTAAAAATAATAACTGCCATCTAACACAGAATTTTATGATGGCAGAAATGTCTTTGAAAAAAAATTAGAAGTTTAGAAATAGGATAAAAACACCCTGAAGTACAAAATTATCTCTTTCTAAAATTAATTTTCTATGAAATCCTCTTGAAATGTCTATCTATTGATTTCTCTGCAGACAGTACACATACCTCTGTGCACCAGACACACTCATTTAAAACCAAGAATGGTCCTATTCTCTTTATAATACTTTCAGAAGGAATAATAGGAAGAAAAAAAAAAGGCTATGTTAACTCCAGGTAGTTACGACATCATTCCCAAAACAACTTTATGTTGATGATTTCATATAAACTGTGAGACCCCAGAGCAAAACAAGACAAATGCTGTGGCCAATTTACTTTTAGAGTTTTATTGCAATCTATTTTTACAATTTTGTATAATCACTTCATTAGTGATGTTCTATTTTTCACCTGTGTTTCATAAAGCTCATTTTACCACACAAATCAGTTAGCAATTTGTTACCTTCCTCCTGCTTTTTGAGTTGCCAGTGTCTACAGTTATTTAGGCTTTGATCAAACTGTACTTTAAGATACACAACTAGCTGCTATAAGTTAAAAATGAAGAATTTGTTTAGCCTTTATTGCACAGTTTATTAAAATGTAAGTGTTTAGAAACTTGTTGAATTCCAAGGTGTTGGTAGAACATGAACTCAACGGAATTACAACATTTTCATAAAAATGTGCACCTAGCTTCTATTGCAAAAAGCCCAGATCTGTTAAAATACTTCCCTTTAAATAAACAGTGAATGATTCAAAAAACTGTGGCACTTCAGTAGATTAGATTTCCTTCTTCTATTGCATATTACAATACTGAAGGTAGAGACTAATCAATAGCAGGGCACTGAAAAAAACTTTTCAAAAGCAGGTCTTCTTAAGGTGTTAGTCGTTTGGGATCCCGAGGGAACATGGAGGTCTGACGAACATTGTGCAGCCCCAGGTAGAGCATAGTTACTCTTTCCAACCCTGGAAAAATTAAATCCAGTCAAATGACTCATTAGCGTGACTCAATGAGATCTGCATGAAGCTTAGTAATTCTAACAAACCTTAAAACAATTGCAGAGGAAAGAATTCTACATAATAAGGCACAGGACTGTTCTGAGATACCAGTACAATTAACTAGATGATGGAACTGGCATGAGAAACATGAAGTTGCTTTGTTTTACTGTACCTCATAACATTAATTATTATGCACATGCAATTATTATACACACTAAGTAACAGGGAAACCGAAGAACAAAATGGGATCCCCAACCTTATTAGGGCCTTTTAGTGTTACATTATCATTGTTACAACAGATGGAAAAAGCGATTGGGAAGCCAAGAGTACCGCACTGAGTACAGAAGCTAGTACAGATCAAACCAAATGCATGAGGGCAAAGAGAAAGAGTTGTGGCAGACAATTATGGAGCAACCTGTACTTAAGAAATGTTTCTTTCTAATGCCTTAAGATGCACAGTAATTTAGACTGAACAAAACCTAAAAGTATGATTCAAATTATTCTTCCATTGTGTATTGGGAAGAATTTCATTTGCCATCATGTTGTGCACTCACCTTTGCTACATCCCTTTGAAGCCCTTCAGACTTAGTCATAAGTGACTTACATAATATTTGTTATTTGCAAATGCTGCAATTTGTCTGTTCACGGATACTTGCATAATGGATTCCAAAATAGCCTTTTTTTCGAAAGAATCATCTCTGCTGTTTACCTAAGTTTGTACATACTTGTTTAATCCCCAATGTAATGCTTTATTTAACATTTATGAACTGAAGACTATATCTATCTGTCTTACAAATTGTACAGGAAGGGCATTTAGAATTTTCTAAATAAATTTAACATAGACAAAACATATACCTAAACAGGATAGGACAGTGTCATACTTCCACATGTACAAACAGGGCACATCCAGATGAGCACGGATGTGAGGGATGTGCCATTGCAGACCCATCTGTGGTGCCACACACCGCACATGCATGCATCTCCTGCACTGCTACTTTGCAGCGCGGGGATTCTTTTCACCCTGAAAGATCCCAGGATCAAAAAAATCCACAGCAAAAAAAAAGTGGGGTGGTGCACGTGGCAGTAGTGCATGCCACCCAAAACCAGAGTCTGGCTGGCTAGGGCCACACTCCGGCTGCTGGCCACACTTCCTGCTGTGGCTGCAGCCCCAGGAGGCCCCCAGGTAAGGCTGCTGGGACCAGCCCAGTTGTTGGCCCCAGCCTCCCCTACCCTACCCAGGGTAACCCCAGCATCACAGCACGTGTGGTATGGGTGTTCCCTGGGGACAAGTAACAGCAGGACAAGACATGCCGCTGCTACTTGCCTCCGGGGAAACAAACATCCGTGCTCATCTGGATGTGCCCACAGGTTACATTTTGCTGCTGTAAACACTGTGTGTAATTGTAAACTGCTGTGCCTAAAATGCGTTTTAAAATTTAATGTTATCTCCTTTTTAAAATTCATTTCTGTTCAGTTAAAATATTTAAGTTACATATTTAAAGTGCTAACAGATCAAAGCCTGTACCTTTGTCAAAAAGATTAAATTACAGCCAAGTCTGATCAATGAGATTCAATCAAGTATCTTTAAGATGAGTAAGGTAAAAGCAGTCACTAGTTTCTCTTGGCTTCATCAAAATTGTTGAGAGACCTGTTGTCTCCCATATTTTTATTTACTTAATTTAGGTTATAGTTAATCCATACATAAATACTGTTTCTTTTTAAAGATTCCCTTCTATCTCTACAACATTTGATGGTGGCCATTGTCACTCATGAGTAAGACTCGTTCCTTGTGATTATCTCCCTTTGCCAATCTTAATACTTCACACTTTCCAAAATAAATAATGCTTTAATTTAGCCTCTCTTTTTAATTCTCCAAGATAAACAGCTTATGATATCACTCAGCTAGACCATTTTCACACATTCAGGTTAACTTTTTAAATTTTATTCTGAACTCTTGACTAATTATCTATACTTATTTTAAGTAAAAGTTACTTGAGTCTAATCACTGAAAGTTAAACTTGAGTAAGACAAAATAAAATAAGGGTAAGTACATTACCTATCCCGCCACCTGCATGGGGAGGAGCACCAAAACGAAAGGAATCGATGTAAGCTTTTATTTTTTCCAAGTCTAGAGAAGAAAATCACATTTATTTTCATGCAGATCAAATTTCTCAACTTAATTTTTCTCAAAGTGGCCCCAAAAATAAATGCACAGATGCATCCACAATATCTCAGCAATGAACCTGTCAAATCAGGCATGGGTAAATAACCACACATTTTCTAGAAGTCACAACTATGCATGAATTAATCACATTTCTTTATAATTCTGTGAAGCCCTTCATGGGGAAGGCATTTGACAGCTGAATGGGGGCTAAGCCACTCTTCTGCATTATAGTGGTATTAATTCTGAGAACTGAGGAATATGGTGGGACACACATCCCAGTGTATTTTCTCAGAATACTGCACTGAGAGACTGAAGTTTTCTTATCTTCTACCTCACTCCCTTCCCCTGTCCTCCCTTCCATTTACTATTCCTTCAAGACAGAAAGTAAACCACTCACTGTTAGCTACCTTTCACACACAGCTCCTCAACACAAAGCCTGTTTAAATTTATACCCACTCTCCAACTCTCATCTCCTATTATCCAGTATTTTTCCATAATGATTTCCTCCCTAATTCCACCAATGGATCTCTCTCCTGTCTTGCTAATTCACAGTTCAGGAGTCAAGTTAGGAACCAGCGGTGGTGGGGGGCTGTACTGGGGGTACTAACCAGCAGTCAGCAGGAGTCTGCAGTAGCAAGGATGCACAGGAAGACAGGACTCTCCAACTCCCTGCTCCATGTTTCATGTCCCCAACTCCCTGCTGCACTGAACCTGCACATTTCCTATACTAGTAATCTTGCTAAGGCTCTTAGAAAACAGTTTCCAGATGCTGCTAAACTAGCCAGTTTCTTTTAAATTAATGTGTAGTGGATTAAAAATGGCTGAAACAAAATGAGACTATTACTGCTATAGTGCATATTCCTGTTGTGTAGCCCCAAGTGATGGTGTCAAACTGTGTCCCAAAATTAGATTTTTAATAACAGATAAACACCCCTGATCCAACTGATTTTATTACCAATGCCATGATGCTGGGCTCTTTCCGTCAGCAGCTGAGGATCATGAATTCTTTGAGCACCAGATAAAATCTCTTCTCCTCTCATGAACATATCGTAAGAGTTTGAAATTTTCTAGAAAGGTAAAAGTTTGCATCTGATTAGTGGCCGGAATCTGGAGGAATTGATGTGTTTCCTCAGCCAGCAGATACCAGCTTTTTGAGATCGCTGGCTAAGATAACACATGAAACTAGGTGACAGCAGGCATGTTTACATGAGACGCTTACCACGCAGCGGACCAGTTAGCTGTGCACTAAAAGTCTCGGCACCTACGAGAGTTAGCTGTGCAGTAAACATCTTGGTGTTGAAATGGTGCATCCAGGGACAATAAACACTGGACTGTTTATTCAGGCGCATTAACTGCATGTGTAGATGTGCCCAGTATGAAATACTTTGGGGCTATGGCAGCACCAGTATAATCAGATGTCTCTTTTCATCAGATTCAGACTTGACCTAATTTATGAACCTGAATTTAGCCAACTCCCTCTGCAGAATGACTACTTTTGTAAGCTACGGAATAATGCAGGGATTTTATAAAAACCTAAGAAAATTACACTTCTGCTAAAGCAAAACTGTGAGAATAATTTTGCTCACTATGCAATGCTTATGACCGAAGCAGTGGTAATCTGACAAGACAGGGCTTGACTCCCATTGTTTTTTTTAACATGTAGCTTGCAGTAGTGTAATTCATAGTTTCATAGATTAAGGGTCGGAAGGGACCTAGTAGATCTTCTAGCCCGACCCCCTGCCAGGGCGGGAGAACAACAAAACCCCAAAACAAGAAACG